CAAAGTAATCGAATAACACCACATAATACTCGAATAACATTTCATTTTTTACAAATACGCTGATGAAATATTCCTGTAACGCAGCGGGATATTCCTATAACACAACGACTATTGGAATCCGAACTTATCTCTACGTTCGGAGTTCCAACGTAATATGCGCTCAAATGTGTGACAGGAATGATAAAATGTTGGATATTTACACATTTCACGCTTAGACTTTCATATTTTTATATATAACACTCAAATCTTTAATAGTGCTACTATTTCTTTTTAAAAATGAGATATGGCTATTCATGCATAGGTTTAAAGCATCAAAGTGTTATGTATGTAAAATATGAAAATTTAGAAGTGAGATCTGCAAATACATAAGAATTGTGCGCTGCTTATGTAAATTTCCCTTAAAAAAATTCAAATTTTAATGAGGACAATAAATCAAATGTGAATCATTATCCAGCCTAACAATAAGATTTCTCCATGACTGATACTCCGCACCTAATTCATTATAGAAAAGAAACCAACAACAAGGCTGCACCTATTTAAGCTTAAACTAATATTAAATTTTAGCGTTTTCTCAATTTTGCAATTTGCAGATACGTGTGGTATTTATATATTTGGAAGGCCTCTATGAAAAAGCAACAAATTTAAGCCACATGAAAATATTGCACCAGGACTTCGCACGTAGGGAAAATATTGCACCAGGACTTCGCACGTAGGGAAAATATTGCACCAGGACTTCGCACGTAGGGAAAATATTGCACCAGGATTTCGCACGTAGGGTTAGGTGTGGAGTTCAATGAAATCCCGCCAAGTGATGGTGACAGAAAAAATAAAATAAAATATGTCCGGTAACAAAAGAGAATATTCCTCCCATGTTATTATGTGTTATTTAATTTTTATTGATATGTTATTGTGTTATTATAGTACTGGGAATATTTCCAGAACACAATAACACTTGAATAACATATAATAACACATGAATAATACGGAACAACACGGAAGGAATATTCTCTTGTGTTACCGAGTAATTTTTTTTTCTGTCAGCTCCACTTGGTGTGATTTCATTGGACACTCCATGTGTTAAATCTTAATGGAATAGAGTTATTTAAGATTTATTTATTTGCTTCTAAACTTGGATACAGGCCACTCAATTCTTATATATTTACATATCTGACAGAAAGACTTTAATTATTTTATCCACACCATCTTAGTGCATAGGTTTAAAGCATCAAAGTGTTATGCATGTAAAATATGAAAATTTAGAAGTGAGATCTGTAAATACATAAGATTTGTGCGCTGCTTATAGGGCTGTCAAAAAAGCTCGTTGTTCGCGAACAGTTCGTGTTCGGTTCGTCAATGAGTTCGTGTTCGATTCGTTCGATAAGTAAACGAGACAAACAC